ATGGATAGACATAGGATAGTGTCTCTTTCCTGGGATTTGGATTCTGGTTTCAAATTGATGGTGCAATTACATACCCGCTGAGTTACCTCGCTGCCTCTTCCTCTCCAAACAAATCTGCAAAATATGTATATTTTTCTGGCAGTGCTGATTCTCCCATACTGGAGTGGGCGAGGTGAGTTTTCACTGCTTATAAGTGATGTTGCTGGCATTTAGGAATGGGGAATGAGAGCATCCCTCGCATTCAACTTATACCTGGATCATGCAGCTGAAGCCATATTATTCCCACGATGATAGTACTTGCACGGAGGAAGTTACATACCATGTTATGAATTCGATGGGATCTTGGATTGTCAACTGCAAAGGAGCCGATGTGCTGCAGAATTAACCCTGCTCTTAGTAGCTGTCCATCAATTATCTTGACTTCATTGGGCTTTCTAGAGCTTGAATAAGCAATTCTAGTTTCGGTGCTTTTTATGTCTATGAAATTCGTGGTTGCTCCAGATTCTAGGAAGTCAGAGAATCCTACCATCTTGCTGGAAACTAAGGTTAACAATAACAACGTTATTAAGTATGCTTGCCTGCTATCAGATGACAGTTTCTCCTCAAATGGTGGCAAGATCCCCTTCAGGGTTTCGGGGAGCGCAGCAAAGTTTGCCTGGTGTGCTGTTTCAAAGCAAATTGGGCACTTGCTGTCCATGAGCTCTGTTGATAAATTTTGCTTTTCATTTCTTCAATATCTGTGCCAGAGATTAGTACTTTTACCAGGCAGGCTGTGGCTCTGTGTCCTGGGGACTAAAATCATAGCCTCAGACCCCTTTTCCTTTGCTTCTCTCCTGATGACAGCGAACTCGTTAAGTGCTCTGATTTGTATATGTTCTCCCACACTGGATTTTGAGCAGGTGGGATCATTGGGATGGGCTAAGACAGACCCCCTACCATTCCTTTCCTGCCTTAGCTCTCCTAAGCAATCCGGATAATGACCCAGCTCTTCTGGGGTATTTGAGGTGCCTTGTCTTACCAGCGCATCTCTCAGCCCTTCTTTGAACCAGTTAGTCATCCCACCCTATAGAGCCAGCAAGCAATTGAAAGCATGAAATATATGACTTTACTCTGCTCCCTCTTGTTTGAGCTTCCAGATCCCTCGACTAGCAGTGATTCTCTGAGGAGATCCTCCAAGTGTCCTTTGAGTTTACACATGACGTCCTGATAGTTGTCTAACACTGGATTGTTTCCTTCAGTTCATGGTTTTGCCCATTTACCTCCTGCTTCCTTCAGCAAACTCAGCCCAAAAGTCACTTGGTAAGATCAGTGGAAACTCCACCAGCTTGCATGTCATACACATTTCACATTGAATGGTGAATGTTGAGAATTGATCCTGGTTCCCTCCAAATTTCTCTGGCAAGGTATCCTGGGAATGAGGGAGCATGTATTGAGCCATCATCTGTGGTGCTGCAGAAGGATGGAGCAAAAGATGCCCCAGTCTATTGTGTCAGTTGTATCATGGCATTCTGCAAATTGGTTAATAAGGACATCTACTTCCTACTGTTGTTGCAGCAACGTTGCTGCCAATTGCTTGGCAGATAAGCATCGGAGGCCGTGCCTGAATTTTCCCACTTTGAAAGAGACATAGAGACTTCCGAGATTGATGTCAGCCTTATTAGAAGATGAGACAGGAAGCACAACCAGGTACTAACTTTTTTTGTTATTGTAAGAGTATATTAATTGAATCTTGCTAGCCTGCAGCTATAAGTCTCCCATCATTTCCTTTACAGCCTAAGAAACTAGGGAGTTTCTATTGAGTCTTTTGCCATATTCACCATCCAGCTGTAGCCTATGCTGTCTCCTATCTGATTGTTCCCTACGTAGCGTCTCTGAGCCCAACCTCCCATTCCCATATACTGTTACAAATGCACTGGACATATTGATGTAGCTTGTCTCCATGCCTCCTGAAATCTATAGGAGTATCTATTTATTGCTTGCTAAGGAGCCAAAGGAAAACTTAGGTAACATTTAATATTGTACAATAGTAGTTATCTCTCATTAAGATTCAGAGCACAGGAAAACATGAAGCTGAGTGGATTTCAGCATTCTGGCTGGAAATTCTGGGAGTTGGAAGTCCACACAGATTCCAGCTACCAAAGTTGAAAAACACTCCTTTAAGGAATTCATTCATTAAAATTAATGAATATAAACCACATAACTCCTAATAGGGAAGTTCCATTAAACTAGAGGAAAGGGACTAGTGTGACTAACCGGCAGAAATACAGGAAAACATAAAAAGATCATGAAACCAAAGTCTTCTCAAATGAGAAATAAGAAAAGGAACACAAACTTTGGCAAAAGTACAAGCTGACTGTGAGGGATAGAGAGTCTTCAAGATAAAAAAACAATTATGATTAATACTGTTTATTTAAATCTATAAGATGAAGGAAAATTGGCAATAGGGCTAGCAATGAGGACTTCCAATGTCAAGGATGGGGAGGATGGAGATATTTTTGGTCTTCTTTTACATAACAATCATTCATACTTAAGTGATTGTCCACTAGGACGCCACGATCCCTCTCACAGCTACTGCTATTGAGCCAGCTGCCCTCTATTCTATACCCATCCGTTTGGTCAGCCAGATGCTTAGAATGGATTTGGCATTTTTACCCACCTATCGAGTCTTTCCAAGGACTTTGGGCTGTTGTTTTTATTTTACAATACAAAACTTCTGTTAGATCAGTCCTAGGGAGCTGTGAAAGGGAGAGGCTAGAATGTTTGGGGAATCTTTAATACAGACGGTAACAATGGGCTCTATATAATACCTAAAGTTCCCCTCCTCCCCGTCCTAAAGACACAAGGGAAATGCCAGTGATGAACAAAGTCATTTTTTTTCCAGCTGCTTCAAAACCCCATAGTCTTTCTCAATTTGAGCTTGCACACATATTTGTTATTATAAAAGCACTATTTGTTTCGTGTGGGCTTTCTCATAGGTAACACAGCCAGTGCACTGAAAACCTCTCTAGAATGCAATTTAAGTTTCACTATAAAATTGGTAGGTATGGAAGCTGGTTGTCCACCAGAAATCTCACTGACTTTATTATCTTTTTTTAAGCAGGCAGACTTCATTCTACTAGCAGGAAAAAAAGAATGTTGATTGTGCCAGCAACTCCAGCAGACGGCTCTCAACATTTCACTGCTCCCTACAACTATCGGAGGCCAAACCAGAGACTGAAAATCAAGGACCCTCTTCAGCTTTACCTGACAAGATTTTTGCAGAAAGGCCATGTTATTATAACCATTATTACAAGGTTGTCCTAACTATCGTTGCCTTCAAAGGAAGTGGGGAAACTTTGCTAAATATAAATATATATATATCTACTGGCTTTAGTATGTATTACAAATCCTCTGGAAAGTTACTGTAACTGACCAAGCTATATTAAACCCTTTGCACAGCATTGCTACTCTGTGTAGCTCATGAAAATGAATTCCTTGAACTCCACGTGTGTCTTGCTACTGAAGGCAGAAAATGCACTGGAGCTTTATCTACGTGTCACAGCATTCGTTTTAATCAGCCAGCTTTCACTTTCAAGGTGCTTACTCTAAGGATAAGTGCATTGTTGCATGGCTTATTCCTGCTATACCATATTAGGAAAAGAAGAAGAAGAAAGGAAACTGGGCAGTGATTTAGTGGAGGGAGAAAGAAAGCTTAGGGATTATGTCTAACCCAAGAATTTCCAAAGTGCCTTATAGTAAAAAGAATTCTTCTTGTTCCTTAAAGCTACCACACTGATTATGATATAAGCTTTTGAGGCTTTCATTTTATCTCATTATGAAAGTTGGTCTCATTTTTTTCTGTATATTCCTTACTGATGTTTTAAGTAGGGACCTGACTTTCCCATTGTTATCAGACGTCCATATACTGGGAATGCCATCCCTACAGTGTAAAATATAGGTGGTTGGTGAAGAAAATGGGTCTGATTGAGCAATCAGAATGTCTGGCTTTCCGTTTCAAATATACAGCAGAAAAATGGCCCATCAAACAAATCAACCCAGAGTTCACACTCGAAGCACAAATGACCAGGCTCAATATATCACACTTCATGCACATTGTGGGAAGACCTGGCTCTCCAGGGCAGTCTGCGAAGCTGGGAAAGGGGGAAGGAAAGAGAAGAAGAGGATGATCAATAGCAAGGGGGATGGACTCAGTTATGCTGGCAATGAATGCACCACAGGAAGATCTAAAAGGATCAGGTTGGGGACAGATCGTCCTGAAGAAAATCTATCACTGTGGCTGCTAAGACTCAACATCTGTAGGCTTGGTGGCACATAATGAATCCTTGGTTTGCTTTTGTGTACAGGTAGTTTACAAAGAAAAATGCATTGAGCAATCAGGAGATCCTGTTCTCAATTTTGAATATATGCATGTTGTTAGTTAGAAAGGGCTTGCAAAGTATACTAGTATAAGTTATCTTTAAAAGAAGAGTGAGAATGAACTGCTTTGCAGAAGTAATGCACATGGTGTTGTTTTGTTAACAACTTTTTGCAAAATGAAAATAAAGGCTATAACCATTTAAGCATGACTCATATCAAAAGATAAAATTACACCACTAGAAAACATGGCATTGTGGTTCCTTAACGAGCCTCTATTGATGTGCCTTGTTAATATGAAGGGATGTCAGAATAAAATATGGCAGCATAACAATTCTCCAGCTTTTTGAACATATCAACTTGATATTCAATTTGTGTTCAGCTTTAACACTTGTTTATCTTTTCATCATTCGGACAATTAATGAAAGAACAATATTTGAAAAATATTGAGGTCTAAAACATATGAAAAAAAAATGTTTGCCCCCCCACATCTAAACCCAGATTCAATAACCATTCACCCTTCTGTTAACATAGTTTTATGATAGGATGATATAAGTGGATCAGGGTTTTTACACTATGAGTATTCATTTTCCTGGGAGTTCTAGAGCCAGCCTGATTCTTCCTAATCCTGAGGGATTGTGAAATACCTGGTGCATAAGCCATCTTGAATGTCTTCATATGATAAAGGCTAAATGGTGCCTTGGAACATCTGTTCCTGGAGCTCCTCCAGCGGAGATTTCTTTCTATAATAGAAAAGCTTTGTGAAACAGTCTTTGGGAAGCATCTGTGTGATGTGAACTCCTCTCAGAAGGAGGAGGGAAAAAATCTGCCACTCTGGCTCTGCAAACCCAATGGGACACTGACACCTCTTAAGTAATAATAACCGACATAACGAAAGGCCTTCAATGCAAGGGTCAATGGTGCTGCGTTGCACAATGTTTATAGGCTAGGATATTTCACAGGGGAGAGGTTACTTTATCTGTCTTTTGAGGGAAATGCAAAACAAAGTGGAAAATCCGTTTCTTTTCTCTTGCCAACACAAAACCAACCACTGCAGAATAAAGGTCTCTTCACTGAAAATTTTGGGCTATATACCACATTGGTCTGGTGCAGGTTGGCAGAGAGATTTTTATTTTCACTTCCTTGTCTATGGCTGCGTGTGAATGCATTGCATGAATTCCATCCCTAAAGGAGGCCTGGAACCTGGGTTTTCCTGTTCTAACCCAGTACCTTAACCATTATACATATATGAGTCATATTCTATCTTGAATATACTTCTTTGATTTATTCTATGAATGCAATATAATGAATATATTCTATCAAGTATACTCTATATATTTCACAGGACCAAAAGAGGCTTTTTAATATTTGGTTCTCTTTAATTGGTATTTTGAGATTTGTAAGAGTGTTGCTTTAGTATGCTTTGTATAGTTTCATCAAAGATTAGAAGAGGAATTTCCATAACACCTTTACTTCCTTTGAAATGCACATCTTATATACAATGTCATCGGGAGTTGTCCAAAAAATTCTAAGAGATCGTATGAAAATTCACATTAACTGATGGGAAAATTCATAAAATTAGATAGAGTCTTCACCTAGAAGATGACATAAAATGAATTCCCAAATAAATATCTGTGCTCTGGGCTACAATCATTCCCTGCAGTGTCTGAAGACCCTCCATAAAGTTGTACTCTGTGCCCCTAATCTGAAGAGGCCTTTTTATAACAGCCTTCTTACAGCAGGAAAAGCTGCAGAGAAAATCAGAAAGGCAAGCCTCAGTTAGCATGCAAACACACACACACACACACACACACACACACACACACACACACACTTTTCAAAGTAAGAATATAGTCCTTATTTGGCCCTAATTTTACCTGATGCAAAAGAACCCTGTTACTTTGCAAGTATATATTTGTTCATTATTCTGCTTCTACAGTGATCTCAGAAGAAACTTGTGCAAACTAACTTAAATTAAATAGTAAATTAAAACATTACCCAAAATATTTATCTTAAGGAATTTCAAGATATTTATGTTATAAATCTTGATGCCTCAGTTTAATTCAGATCTAATAATCCCGACCACTGCATTTAGAACAATCATCCCACAAACTATGAAGCTCTGTTCATAGCTTTGCTGGAAATTAATTCCAGTCTCAAAAGTTTTAGTTAAGCACTTCTGAGTAGCACCAGTTTAAGAACGATTTAATTTACAAATGGGAGCATTCCTTTCCCTCTTTTCCTTACTGTCTTTTCACATTCTTTATTAATACTATATGAATTTAAATAATTAGCTTAGAATATTGTTTTGAATCCTATTTAAAAGAGAATTGTGGCCAGAGATAAAAGCCATGGTCAATGAAAAACTATGATAGCTACAATTAAGACCAGTAGTGGTTGAGAATGAGTCTGTGTAAGCCCACAACCTGCATTCTCATAATGACATAAACTGCCAGATTTAGAGGGGAAATAGAAAACAAATTATAATGTACCTAACTGCATTTCTCATGAGCTTATTGGTATCTAATATATATTTTAAAAAACCTTCCCAAACCTTGAGTTAAAGAAAAGGAAGTTTGTACTTTAGTCATTTATCCTTTTTTGGAATACCATTTTATCCAATGTGTTCTGTCTGTATCTGCATAAACTTACTGCATAAAACACAGTAAAGAAAAACTATTAGTAATTATTACTAAATGAAGTCTTTCTCTTCAAGAACTTCTCTCATTATTCAGAGCCCTATTTATTACCGGTTAACACTAATACAATCACCGTTCAATCAGTATGGGTTCTATTTCCTGTTTCTAGTAGAAATCATCTCTGCATAAAAGCATTTTTTTGGTTATTGATTCAGGTCCCTTCACTGTGTGGTGGTGAATTAGTAAAAGTAAGGTATTCCATTATGTCTTAGTAGCAACTTTGTTACATAAAATCTCTGCAATTTAATTTTTTGATTCTCATATTGTATTTGATGGATTTCTTTTCAGCTATAGCCCCAGGCAGGCATTTATTTGCCCATAGAAGAAAAACAGGTAATATTTCAGCTAATTTATCCCACATATTCCCAGGTCTTTGATGTTCCACATGTACATCTAAAAGAGGTTCTTTACCAGTGGTGGTTTTCAAAAATTTTTAGAACTTCTTTTGTGGGTGTGGCCTGCTTTGTGGGAGTGGCTTGCCAGACATGTAACTGGGTGGGAGTGGCTTGCCAGCCATGTGACCAAGTGGGAGCGACTTGGCAGTCATGTGACTGGGTGGGCGTGGCCCAATGTAAAAATGTGGTGAAACCTACTTAACAACGCTCTTACTTAGCAACCAAAATGTTGACTCAGGAACTCTGGCATTTGAAGCACGCAAGTCTTAAAGCTGTCAAGTACCAAAACTCTTGCACCCCTAACCCTTTAGGAAAAAACCCCAGGGGTGTTCAAACTTGACAGCTTTAAGACTTGTGGACTTCAACTCCCAGAATTCCTCCTCTCGCTCTTCATCTTGATGAT